TTTGTTAAGCCAAAAGACATCACCTTAAATTCAAAGGCACCATATCTTGTTACCACCATAGTTTTTGCTTCATCTCCCTTTTTTATTTGAACTTGCTGGTATCCGGACTTGAGATCAATCTTTTTATAGTATCTCGCCCAACTCAGTCGATCGAAACAATCTGCGACCAGCGGAATATGATAACTATTCTTCACGGTGATCTTGTTCAAGGTTTGATGGTCGCAGTACATTCTAAGAAAACCATCGGCTTTTTCTGAAACAACACGAGAGCTCGATATGGTGATTTCGCAGGAACAATAATCCCACTTTCCAACATTTCGCCCAATTGTTTCCGAAACTCCTTAAGCTCCGGCTGAGACATACGGTAGGGTACGCGGGTGGTTTGACACTCGGAATAAGTTCAATCTCATGATCAATTTTCCCTCCTTGGTGGCTTTTCTTTGGTAACTCATCCAGCATGATGTCATCAAATTCCTTAATAAGCGTCCTAACAGGTTTTGGAATAGGGCATGTCACCTCTTCGATCTCCTTTAATCAAAGAGTGCACAAAAATGAGGGTTCATTCCTTTTGAAGCCATTACCAAATTGCATGGACGAGATACTCCTCTTACCCATTTTCCTAGCTTGGTGTAGTAATAATGCACAATTTACTACCTATCATCATTAATGAACCGGAATATGGCAATACTACTGTCATAGTATCCCGAAGAAATTTCAATCCCAAAATAAGTTTGAAGTCATCAATCTGAACTGCAGACAAGTTTGTCCTTCCCTCGAAAGGACCCGCTTTGACAAACACAGATTTAGCTACTCCAACTATTGGTTGAGCAGCGGAGTTGATTTCTTTGACCTTTCCACTACCTTTCTCCAGAACAAGTCAGAGTCACTCCACTTTAGTACTTGCGAGGTAGTTGTGGATAGCACCAGTATCTACCATAGCCCTGATTGGCTTTCCATTGATCTTCACATCCATGTACATTAGGCCTTTGGTCCTACAAATGCGAGTCTTAGATTATTCCATATTTATCCCTTTCGAGGAATTATCACCATTTCTAGTAGTTCAGCGCGATAGTGTATTACATCCTCATCCTCTTTCGAGTCGATCTCGCCATATAGCTAGTTTGTGGGACATCTTGTTTTGAGCTCATTCTACCACTCGTTAGCTGACAATAATTCACCATCCGTTTCTGAGGACAATAATTCAATAAAACTTTTTTAAAATAAAGAGTGCATTTGGCTTCTTCAAATTTAGAGTATCTCTAAGACGCTATCTATTTTTGAAGAGTATATTCTACAATTTAAACAACATATGTAAATTTAGAGAGTAAAAACTTTTCAATACTCCAATAATATTTAATGTTATTACTCTAAAAAATATTATTATTTTTTCTTATCTTCTATTTTAATTATATTCTATCCAAATTATTATATTATTTTCCTCAATTGAAAGTTGAAATGCTTTGAATGCATTTAATTATAAAGTGTGAGTTTGACTCTCTAAATTTGGAGGGTTGAATTCACTCTCTAAATTAAAATGTTAATTTATAGAGTCGCTTGAAACATATTTTCAAACATCTCTAAGAGACTCTTTAAGCACAAAATGCTCTTAAAATACATAAGATACTCTTTATAAATAAAGAGTATTGAAAATGCACTAAGGGCTGATTCTTTAAAATTAAGAGCATTTTATTTTGAATAGCATCTTGAAGATGATCTTAGATAGTCGAATGCATTCTATATTATTAATGTATAATGATTATATTTAATAAATCACATATTTCAATATTTTGTTTCTTAAACTATTTAAACTACATTGAAATTGATATATTAAAAGTTATGTTAAATAAAATGTGAAAAAAATTGATAAATAATTTTTGATAAAAGTAAAATGAAGAGTCAAAATATAGACCTTGTTGGAGTGTATTAAAATTTTGATTCTTTAAATTTAAGGGCGCATTCTGTCATAATTAATACATAAAATGCTTTTAGAAATAAAGAAATGCTCTTATCCACCAACTTTAAAATATTTTTTGATAATATATTAAAATAAAATTATTATATTATTATTGAATAATTAAATTTTATTGAATAAATGGTATAAAATATTTTTTTAATTTTTTGTCTAATTTTCAATTTTGAAATACAAACCGATCGATCGGACTTAAGCAGGACAATGCTAGGACCTAAGCTATGCTGCTAGGGAACGTGTCAAATCCTCTTTGACGGTACACTCACAGTGAAAGGCAGCATTTTTTGACTTTTTTATTCACACGGTCCCATCAAATATTTTACGGCAAAAGAGCTTTATTGTAAATCGAAATATCAAAAAAGCTGGTCACTACCTCATGCGTGTCGAGAAAGGAAGGTCGCTCCACCCATTACATGTTCGTATCTCATTGGTCCACGTTTCCCCTACAAAATCCCCCTCAACACGTGCCAATTTTAGATGAAGAAGGAAACGAGAACGGCACAAATGGACGGTCAAGATCATTTTATCAAATTCAAAGCTGTGATGTCTGCTCGTCTACAAAAAGCTTCATTTTTCAGGGCCCTCCTCTTTATATTTGCGTACATTGTGTTGATTCTGTTCCATCTTTTGTTTCTTCGTTCATCAACTCCCAACTCTTTTATGGCGAGTATGTGTTATGGGTTGAATGTTGAGACAAAAACAACTGCTCCGGTTGAGCCAATTTCAGAATCCGCCCGGAGGAGGAGGATGGAAATTCACCAATTTAAATTTGTGCCCAACGATGCCGCGGTGGCTTCGCCGCTAGAAAACAGCAAGAAGCGACGGAAGCTGGAGGCTGTTATCCCGCTTTCTCCACCGCCATCCTCATCTAGGATTGAGGCTGATGCGGTTCCAGAGTGCCCTAAATTCGGCATGACATCTGTTTGCGGTCGGAGAAGAGAGATGGAGGATGCTGTTGCAATTCACCCATCTTTTTGCTGCCAAAACCTAAGTTCTCCAGGTGGCCTACATTTCTTTGGGCTCTACGATGGCCATGGCTGCTCCCATGTAAATAGTTTCTATATCACTGCTTTGTTACTAAAGAATTGCGTGAAAATTCTTAATTTTATTCTGAAGGAATAATTTTGATTTGGGTGTGTTTGAAGGTGGCCACAAAGTGCAAAGACCGGATGCATACAATAGTGAAAGATGAGATCGAAAGGGGGGATGCCTCATGGACGGAGATGATGGCTAGGAGTTTTTCCAAAATGGACGGGGAAATTACCGAATGGGTTAGTGGCGCAGCCGGGTTCTCAGCCGCCACTTGCCGCTGCGAACTTCAAACTCCTCGGCGTGACGCCGTTGGATCCACCGCTGTCGTGGCGGTTGTTTCACCGGACAAGATAATCGTGTCCAACTGCGGCGATTCGCGGGCAGTTCTTTGCCGCAATGGTGTCGCAATTCCACTGTCCACCGATCATAAACCGGACCGACCCGATGAGCTTGACCGGATTCAAGAAGCCGGAGGCCGTGTTTTTTTTTGGGACGGGCCGAGAGTGCTTGGATTCCTAGCAATGTCTCGTGCAATTGGTAATTTGCTCAAAACAAATTACATATTCTTCATAGTTATGGGATTCTGATCTAATGAATCGAAATTTTTATCTGGGTTTTCTTCAGGCGATAACTATTTGAAGCCGTACGTGATATCAGAGCCGGAGGTGACCATTACTGACCGGACGGCGGAAGACGAGTGTTTGATTTTGGCCAGTGATGGGCTATGGGATGTAGTGTCAAATGAAACCGCCTGTGGGGTGGCGCGTATGTGCCTTAAATCATGTAAGCAGCTCAGCGACACCGTAGGCGGGGAGAGCTCCGATAAGGCTTGTTCGGATGCATCAATTTTGTTGACCAAGTTGGCGTTGGCGCGACAAAGCGCCGATAACATTAGTATTGTGGTGGTTGATTTGAGAAGAGGCCGTTAGGGGGATTTTTATCTCTTGTTGAAGAGGAGATACAAATCTTACATCTAATGATATTGAAGCCAACAAGTAGTAATGCTCAAATGGCAAATAGCCATTCGTTTCTTCTCTAATTTGA